GGCTTAGTCAAAACTTGTGGGGGTTGATCGTAGCAATTGCAGGGCTGTTGTACGTGTTCGCTAAGAACTATTTAACCAAATCATGAGTAAGCCAACCGAGACTCCACCCACTACGAGCGCTGTTTTTTCATCGATATGTTGTTGATTTTTAGCCTCAATATGCGGTGGTACTTGAGCATTAGTAGATGGTTGATCGATAAAAGATGGTTGAGCGATAGTTGGTGTTTGTGGCTTGACTATTCCCTTTTCGCCCGTGATCGTTTGCGTTATTAATTCGACGTTAATATCTGAATTTATACCTGGTTTTTGTTGATCGGTAGCGATAACAATTTTATTATTATAGCCTATCACTTGACCGATCTTAAGTTCCATATTACTCGGGGACATGTATAGTCCCGGCGCATAAACGAAGTCCACTTTGGATTGAGCGTACTGTAATGCATCTTGAAAACGCTTTATAGACGATGGTATGTCAACTGGTGAATTAATGGCGTCCTCCACGTTTGCGACAAACTGTTTTTGTGCATCGAGCGCCGTCCCAGTACCGATAATGGATGTTCGTGTTTGCGATTGTGCACCGAGAATTGCCCATACATAAGTTCTTATCGATTCATTAAATCTTACAAATCCTGGGTTAGTAAAATTATTTTCCGTTTTATCATTAAGAAATTCATTCCAAGCGTTTGCGGTATCGTTCATTTGTATAAATTTTGTAACAATATAAGCCAAACCACCCTTAAAACTCATAAGGGAACCTCTCCAATCGTTACTCGAAAGTTCCCAGCCATGATTAAGATTATGCAATCTTACAAAAAGATTGTCTTTCTGTAAGAATTTAAATGGATTGAATGGTTGATGAGTTTTTTTAACTAAATCATCGCTGACTTCTTTAACAGTTCTTTGTCCGCTGTACGGAACACCTAGACCATGGTTTGCTCCTTTAATGCGCCAATCTTTACTCGTAGAAATATTAAATTCATTACAAATACGCTCATACGCGGACCTATCATAATTATTATTTGTGGAATTCCACGCTCGATCCTGCGGTAATGGAGCACTAATTTCTTTAAGTATACGTCTAATCTGATAATACACATGAAATAATAAAACAGACTTATTTAGCATAAATCCTGGGGCATTAACAGATACGCCACATCCCGTTGTGGCACACCATATGGCAAAGTTTAACTGATTCTGCCAAAATTGCATCGGATTGTGAAACCAATCGTGCACCATTTTATCGCTAGTTGCCGTGACCCTGTACTTTTCAAAGATATCTGGGAATTTAACGAAAAATTCAGCACCAGAGGCAGTTACTATAATCGATTGATTAGTAATGTATCTCGATTTCATATTTAAGTTATGATATAGTATCATTGTATATTTAATATGTATGTTACACTACCTGGAATAACAAATGGTCAGTCTATTGAACTGCTTCATACTATCGATAACTCGGATGGACAACTCGAAGTAGCTCTATGCGATGTAAAGTATTACCCGCTGTGGACCAATATAAGTGCTGCGAGAAGAAATAATAGTATAGATATAATAGGTGAAAACAATGGTATTGAAAAATTCATTACTATACCTGATGGGTATTACAGCGTGTGCTCACTCAATGATGAAATTTTTAAGCCTAATGGAGCTAGTCTAACACAAAATGAGTCGAATGGGATAGTGAAAGTCGACTCTGGAGAAAACGTTGTAGTTCTTAGGCCATACTTAGAAGTTACACTTGGATTTCATCAAAGAGTAGGAATTATAAATTCTAACAAACCACGACAGGGAATTAAATTACCCGATTTAGTTCCCTATAAAGAGTTGTTCATCCATCTTGATCAAATAAGCACGACGGATAATATTCAACTAGAAAGTCCTTCAACTCTACTCAGAAGTGTTCCAGTGAAAAATGAAAAATATAATAGCGGTAGAACGGAATCTTTCTCGTCATTACAATATAAAAAATTAAAGCGGGGTATTATTTCAGACCTTAAAATTTCTGTATTAGATGTAAAACATCAACCTGTACATATAGGATACTTAAGTGTAACACTCCATATTAAAAATAATGGTTGATGCATCAGGCCCTGGAACAGTAAGACAATGTAATACAATTGCGCTTTCCGATCTCGGAGACACAGAAGGATTTGATAAACCCGGTTACAATGGTAAGTTATACGCTTTACACTTACACGATAATGTATACAAGCGGAAAGAAGTCACATTCACGGGTAATCTAGGAGATTTAAGCGATGTCGATGTTAGTAGACTCCTTAAAAACACTTCGTACAATATTACTCGCAACGACGATAATAAATGGACTATGGTCGAAGCAAACATCGAGTGGCTACTGAATATCGTCATTATCCCACCTTATGTGATGATGGGTAAGGGACATAATTTAACTAAGATAATAAATAGTGGCATCGTACTCGCGGCTTATATCCCGTCAAAACGAAAAAGTGTGTTGGTCACTCCCCTGCCAGAAAACCCAGGTCATATGTTATATAGTCGTCCGTCCTTAAAAAACATTAGTTTAAATTTGGTTACTGAATTCGAAGATATTAAAGTTAACCTGAGTGCAATACCTAATATTTCTACGCTTATTATTGAAGTCTTGTTCGGAGATGTACCGGTAGATGCCTTCGAAATATTACCAGGTCTATCGATTAAATGGCTCAAGAATCACGAGCGTCAACGTTGCAGTATTATTCATATCGGAGCATCGCCCGTTGCAACCCTCGAGGGGGTCCAAATTATTAAAAGTGGTAGTATTTCTCTTACTAAGATATTCTTGCCGTATAATATACATTTAATAAGGTTGATGTATAGTCTCAAAACATTTAAGCAAGACCAATTAAAGACTATTATATGATTGTTATATACACTATGAGTTTATATCCGGCGCTCAATGAAGCATTTGAAAAGATGGAAACTGTTGATGGATTTCGATTACATCAAATAAGCGACATAAAACATCGAATAGAGAAGGATAGGGAGTTGAGACTTGGATTGTATAAAAGGTATCGCAGAGCCGTGAATGCTCTGGACGGAGTTGACACCGCTCTTGTAGCAGCTAGCATGGGACTCGGTGTAGCGGGTATCGGTTTACTATCAACTATAATCGCCGCGCCTATCGTGCTCGGCATGGAAATAACCGCTGGAGTCTCGGGACTGGCAGGAATATCGATAAAATTCATTTCTCGTAGGTTACAAAAGAAAGCATTAAAACACGATAGTATTCGGATACTCGCCGAAGCAAAGTTGAACAGCATTGAGGATCATATTTCGACAGCAACGGCTGATTGTAAGATATCCGAGGATGAGTTTCGTTTAGTGCTGTCGGAGCTTAACAAATACAATAAAATGAAGCAGGAGATTCGATCAAAATCTCGTAAGACCAGTGGTATTAGCGAAGACGAGAAAAAAAAGTTCATAGAAGAGGGGAGGCAACAAGCTCGTCAATTATTCCGTGCCCAAACCAAAGAACTGGTTGGAGATTAAAAATAGATTGCTTACTATCGTGTGATTACATTTAGACAAATGCTAACATAAATATATAATAATGGAGAAAGCTATTCAATGGAAAGAATTACCACAAGGTTTTTATTATATCAGTGATGCCAAACCAACCAAATACGGTTATCAATTGTTTCTTATCAATTTACAAAAAGAGTGTAGTTATATAGTCTGGTCTCCTAGTAAAATGAACGAAGAACTTAATAAAAATGTTGAATATCGCTTTATCGATAAAAATAATGAAGAATATTTTTATTACCATTTAGACTCATCTAAAGCAATGATTGGCCCCAGGTATTGGTGAGCTAGAGCCAATTTAACTGAATCTCATGACTATCATTAAATCGCATCATCATTTTGGTATAAAAAATTCCTCCTGTAGTAGCAGTATAGGTATATGAATCCTGCTCCAGTGGAAGTGGTCCAGAACCCCTATTACCTATACTACTAGTGGTGCAACATGAGGGACATACAGACTATAGTGGGGCAACATGAGGGAGATACAGACTATAGTGGGGCAACATGAGGGAGATACGGACTAAAGTGGGGCAACATGAGGGAGATATAGACTATAGTGGGGCAACATGAGGGAGATACAGACTATAGTGGGGCAACATGAGGGATATACAGACTATAGTGGGGCAACATGAGATGAGGGACATACAGACTATAGTGGGGCAACATGAGGGAGATACAGACTTTAGTGGTGCAACATGAGGGAGATACAGACTATAGTGGGGCAACTTGAGTGAGATACAGACTATAGTGGGGCAACATGAGGGAGATACAGACTTTAGTGGTGCAACATGAGGGAGATACAGACTATAGTGGGGCAACATGAGGGAGATACAGACTATAGTGGGGCAGCCTGACGGAGATACAGACTTTAGTGGTGCAACATGAGGGAGATACAGACTATAGTGGTGCAACATGAGGGACATACAGACTATAGTGGGGCAACATGAGGGACATACAGACTATAGAGTGGCAACATGAGGGACATACTGACTATAGAGTGACAACAAGAGGGAGATACAGACTATAGTGGGGCAACATGAGGGAGATACAGACTATAGTGGGGCAACATGAGGGAGATACAGACTATAGTGGTGCAACATGAGGGAGATACAGACTATAGTGGTGCAACATGAGGGACATACAGACTATAGTGGGGCAACATGAGGGAGATACAGACTATAGTGGGGCAACATGAGGGAGATACAGACTATAGTGGTGCAACATGAGGGAGATACAGACTTTAGTGGGGCAACATGAGGGAGATACAGACTAGAGTGGTGCAACATGAGGGACATACAGACTATAGAGTGGCAACATGAGGGACATACTGACTATAGTTGGGCAACCTGACGGAGATACAGACTATAATGGGGCAACATGAGGGAAATATGTGTTGGAATGTGGTGGAATGTGTTGGAAATTGGAAATAATGAAACTGATTGTAATATGTGGTAACATTGATAGAATGTTTGATGGTGCTTCCAGAGGTTGATCGACCTTGCTGCCCTGGCCATTCACAACTCGGAGTTGGTTGAGACAGCCCTGCCCCAGGCTGTGTGTTCAGTATTACAGAGGTGAGATGCTACATTAAAGTCACAATCCAATCAGGACAATATTAGATATTTCTTTGTCTGTAATGTGTATGTGATTGTCTGGAGCATCAACCCTATTATGACGAACTTCTTTTACTGATGAAGACAGGGTTAACTTCTGCATTTCAGTTTCTTTATTCAATACAACATTTAAGGACAGATGCTACCTTTATCAAGCACATGATCAACAATTAGGCACTACATGGTTATAGAATCATATAGCAAATATTACACTTGGCAAAATTAGAGCATAGGTTGGTTTATAAAAAACTCCTCCAAAAGAGAAGAATGTGTTTATTTAAAGAAATTTACTTCTTTTTCAGCAAAGATACCTGTGACTGCTGTAGAGGGGCGCTTTTTGGCCCTGGTCTGAGGATAATTCGACCAGTCACTAACATATTTGGAGTGAAGAACTTGCCTTTTTTGTTTCGATCGTGTTCTACATTGTGTCTGTATGTGTTCAGGCACAGCACAGACACACTAGCCCAGATGCTGTATGGTGGTGATGCCATTAAGGGCCTGTGAACATGCCACCACCACACACACCAGACATATACACTGCTTGGCCTTCGCATGTAGGGATTATATGGCAAATGCATGTCAGATATGACAACAGTAATCATGCAGAAAAGATCAACTGTGTCAGGAGATCTTTGTGAAGGTAAAATGAAAATCTTGGCAGTATCTAAGTCTATGTTAGATTGAACATGATACTTTCAGAAAAAAAAAATTAGCTTTTGATGAATGTGACATATTATACTTGTCAGAAGTGTTTGAAGTCAAAATGAGGATGTTTGACACTTGAAGATTGTTTATAAAATAATGCTTGTTAATAACATTGTTGTCATCTATCATAACCAGTCCTGAACAGGATGCAGGCAAGTGTAACACTTGGTGCTAACAAAAAGGGGACTAATGGAGAGGTACTTATTTATATCAGTTGTCAACATCCAACAAACCTCCTCAACCTGGTGTGTCTTCTGGCTTTCACATATGCCATATTTTCATAGAATTGATTATCCTTTATTAAATTATCCAAAAAATAATTAAGAAACTGATTTACATGCAAATACCTATGGTATTTAAAAACTTTTAAAAAGCTTGTACATTATGTCCCTTTCAACAAACTTTAAGGATATATACCAGTATTGCTGCAGGTATTTGGTGCCTGAGGTTGTCTTTGCCAGTTAAATGCTACTGCTCCATCGTCAGCTATCGTCTCAACAACTACACAGTCTCCGTGAGGATATTCAGTTTCCATAATGAACCAAGTTGAATAGTATCATGGTGCCAGCTTCTGTAAACATCTTCACAGAAGCTACTGGAGCTGAAACTTGTTCACACTTGAATGTGGTCAAGAAGTTCAAATTCAATTTGAAAATGAAATCTTGCCTGCATATTCCCTATAATGACATCATAGTTGGTTGAAATCATCATGGTTTTCTGTTGTGAAAGTTATTTTGTAAAACAAATAATTTCGAAAGCTGAAATTGTCAGTATAAAAAATGGGGGTGGAAAGTGGCTGCAGTGTTGAATTTTGAAATTTCATCGAAAAAATAAATTGTACCAGAAACTTCTTGAAAAAATAATTATGTTTCAGACTGCTGAAGAAAGAGCAACTTTCTGCCACAAAAGTAACATTGTTGCAAGGTGTTTATCTTATAAAAATATTCAGTTGTAATTAATATCTGGTCCATACAAAATCCCAAATACACAAACTAAACGACACCAATTTAAAAAGAGGTCAACATGCACATACATTTGTATATAGAAGCCAGTGTCCCTGCTAAATGTTGCCAGGCAAGTTTGTTAGCTGTTGATTCTCAAATTGAAAAAAATCTGTACGTTCAGCACTAGATTATGAAATCAGTAAATACCCAAACAGATCAATGAACAATTAACAAATTATACAGAAAAACACAGGATTAGGTTACAATCATAAAAGGTAATACAATGACTTTAAAGTTGAATTATCTTTTAAAAGGTATCAGCTACACCCCAGACATACACCTTTTTAGTAAAAATCAAGAAAGTAAAAGAAAAGAAAATTCTCAATTAGAGGAGGTTGTTTTTATTACCGTTGAGTCTGAAAACTCATTAAGCAATAACCATGGACGTATATAGGTTATATAGGTCCTTGCAATAACATATTAATACTTGTTTTCATGTCCGGACATAAGAAAACTCTCCACGACACAAAAAACGTGCCCACGCTTTGCAATCTGAAAACCTACCTGATAGTGAATCTTTATTCAGCCTTTCTAAAACTTTATATGAAGTTTCGGCAGATGATGTCTTTGATATAGACAGCCTACGTGATGTAAACATTGAAGAAAACACAATACTTATTAAGTTAATGCAGCTATAACAGGAGGTGAAATCATAAACTGTGTTCAGAATTGGAAGAATAACAAAGCTGCTGGTCATGATGTTCTGGAAAAAGGTGATTCCTATTTGTAAATACTTTGGTGTTACCTTTTAATTCTTTTGTCCAAATCCACTATAGCAAAGCAATGAAAGCAATGCCTCCATGGTCTAGTGGTAGAGCGTCTGCCTGGACAGATAAAGGTCTAATCATCTAAATTATCTTTCCATGTATATAAGTTATTGTTATTGCAAGAAAACGTTCGGCAAGTTTTATTTAAGTTTCGAACTTGTAGCCATAGCTTATCTGTAGAACCTGGGAGATGGAGAAACATTGAACGGAAAGAAGTGTCCACTTTATAAACTATCTGACACAGGTGGTCAATTCCATTATTTGTTTATTTGTCCACCTTAAAAAATGAAAGAAAACAATTGTTACACAGATTGTACTACCTTAAACCCAATACGTATAAAATGAACTTACTCTTCATTAATCAACGACTAGGAACATTGAGAAAATTGTCCATTTTTCGTAAAACCCTGGTGTCATTGTTTAAACCCCTCAAATAACTCTTTCGCTTTGTAATTGCTCGTACATATATTGTTACCTCAGTGAATCTGCTGAAATGATGTACCCTCTTATGCCGCGGGTAGCGGTCTGAGTGTACAGTAAAGCTCCGGTCAGACAGGCAGTGGACCTTTGAAAGCGCAGCCAGTTCTGCTGGTAGCTGCACCGTACTAGAGACACTGGGTGGGTTGTTCCCACACAGCTATGAGAAGTAAATACGAGCTACTTCCGCTGTGACGGAAAGCCAAGCTGGAGATAGGCAGTAGTTTGAAAAAATATCTGTTTTTGGTGTAAAACACATCTCCAACGAACAAGAGATAACAAACCTGGTCAATGAAAAGGTGAGATTTGTGATAAAACATCTGATATAATGATTTACCATTTAAGTTGTATTTCCTGTACTGCTTGGCATTGTTTTATAAGGATAGCTTAAGATTACTGTGTATACTTGCTCAAAAACTAAGCTGGCACCTTTTCACCCAGATCCACCATTGATTCCATTAAGAAATACCAAAAAATGTAACTTAAAATAATTTTGATGCAATGATCTGTAGAAATTGTGTCTGAAACTATTTGTACCAGGAATAATACATTCCAGTATCATGTTATTTTAGTTGCAGCTATTTTTTTATAAAATAAGTGTAGCACTATTTATGTTGTTGGATATTCATTACGTATGGAAGTTTGGCGAGTCACCGTGGAGGCTTCCCGCGTATTTGCCAATTCGATCGTGAAAACTATGTTAGTAGTCAATAGTCAAATTACAACACATATAATATGTTTATAACGAGTCAAAGTATGGCATTTATGATGTATGTATCCATTTATTGTCAACTTAGGTTCGTTTTAAGGCGCCAACAGCGATAATCTGATCGTGGTTGTTTAACGGTGAGTTGCTGCGAACTGCCGATCAGTTCACACACGATTTCGCCGAAATTAGTGTACTGGTAATCAATATTGTATGTAATTTTGAATATATACTGAACCGCAAAAGAAACGTCACCCCAAGTCACATTGCATGAAAATTTGTCATTTAAATATCTGGGGAATTTTTGTCAAAGTTTCTAAAATTTAACATTACCATGTCCTTACATTTACCTTGAAATTTGATGATAAAAAAACGAAGCAGATGACAATAAAAACGATCGCCCAAACGCATCACGTCATCGGCCATGGTAACCCGATGCACGTGAGTTCCATGCAAATTGAAATGCACATGCGCTCCCCCATTTCTTGCCCTGTAAAAATTTCCCCAGATGAGATAACATTCATTCGTTATTAAATTGCTACCACGTGCCAAGACAAGAAATCAGCGACACGTTATTCGGATGCTTGTGTTTTTGAGAGAGACTCGTTGCTTGGTCCGAGGATCATGGTGTGGGGTGGAATTGGTCTTGCACAGAGGGTCGGCCCTGTGGTCTTCCAGAACATCGGTCCAGGGTGAGGCAATGGTGTCACAGCAGCTCGGTACATTGATCAAGTCTTGAGACCACACGCCATACCTCATTTGGCACGTCGCCGAAGCTTGATATCGCCCATGCCCACACTGGGAGAGCAACAAGCTCAAGAGACTTCCTGAAGCAGAATGGCATCATACGTCCCGATTTAAACGCCATTGAGCACATGTGGGACGAGATTCAAAGACGACTGAATGACGTCCGACTAAGGCCGACAACTGCAGCTGAACTGCGTCAGGCGTTCCCCAGAGTGTGGGCTCAAGTGCCTATGGCCTTCATCAACCGCCTCATCCATTCCATGTATCGACATTGAACGGCAGTCATCAATGCACATGGCGGACACACGCGTACGAGATACTGACTTGTGATGCAATTTTCTCAGAGACTAGTGTTTCACTTTAAGAACATTTGACACCTTAATTTCAACCTTGATGATCAGTTTTACAAAGATTCATCTTTTAAATATCTCTCAAAGTATGTTTACAGTGTTTGGACAAATAAGGTTTCTCATATATCTACCCATGGTGATGTTTTTTTTGCGGTTCAGTATAATTAATACAATAGATTACAAACATTAAGCTATATATATTATATACAATGATCACTTTTTATAAGGATACGTTGACAGGTTGTTTCCGGTGTATGTGCTCACGTTCATGTCTCTGTGTTGCATGGGGGAACACATCAAAACTCATTATGGCGTGTATCATGCCCCCGCCCCTCTACACAACTGTAATATTTTGGTGGAAAAGTGCTCACAATACACAATAGAAAATACTCTACTCCTATTTTGAAGTCTCTATGGGTCCCCCAAGAGAATACCAACATTTACATTTTTTTTAAATCCAGAGACTCGAAGATGCTCTTTATCCCCTTATGGAAGATGCTACAATCATATCTGGTAGCGTGTGTAGGCAAGTGTGATCATTCCGGGGGAGGCACGATGGTATCGCCACTGAAGCCACAATTTGGTGTTTTGTACCAAATATATTTTTTATAATAACCGACCGACTACATGTTTTCACAGAAGATACCAAAAACAATTTAATTAAAATAAATTAGAAAAGATTAATCTGTGCCGATGTATATAATGCTCACCATTGAAACTCACAGTAAAGAAGATAAAACCGTTGTGTATTGCAGTAATGTTATAGATTGTTACATGCTGTTTGCATTGTTGCGGGTTGTTATTGAATATTTAATAGCATGGTGCTGATGCTGGCATGGTGATACTGGCATGCGTGATGCTGGTATGCGTGATGCTGGCATGCTGATATTGGAATGGTGATACTGGCATGCGTGATGCTGGCATGGTCTTACTGGCATGGTCTTACTGGCATGGTGATACTGGCATGGTGATGCTGGCATGCATGATGCTGACATACTGATACTGGCATGCGTGATGCTGGCATGGTGATGCTGGCATGGTGATACTGGCATGCAT